GTTTCTTGCAGAATGATATTTTTATAAAATCTATATTTTTCTTTAAAAAATGTATTTTTTAGAATATGTTTCTGGGAAAGTGAAATAAAAAGATGGGAAGATACAAGCCCCATTTGTATTACTAGAATAAACCCATTCGATTACTCTTCTGGATTGCTGTAACAGTCTCAAAATGCTAGCTCAGTTTCTGTGCTTACCTCACGGGGGACCAGCAGTAAATAATTTTCAGCATGGCCCTGGTAGGTATTTTGAGTCGCCGTAGGTGACCTGGGGTGGGAGCCTGGACTTTTGCTTGGGGGCTCATGGGCCCCCCCCGCATAGGGGCAGGCCTGTCCCACAGTCATAGTTTCAGCGGTGGGCATGCTCTCCCAGTGGTTGTCACTGTCAAGTTATGGTGACCAGCATGACGTAAAGGGGATGTGGGAGAGCTCCCTCCTGCCTCTGCCGAGTGCAGTCCCCGCTGCTGTGACACCTTCCACATGGTGCTGCCACAGCACCATGAGGAAAGGAGGCCCCAGGCTTGAGGCTGATCGACACTGCGGAGCTCCCATAAATAATCACCTCAAGGTTTAGGCTCTGGGAGCAGGCCTCAGAGTCAGCTTCTTATCTTCTTCTCTGATTGGCACATCGGAGGGTTATTTGGGGAGGGGAGCAGAGGAAAGCCATGGTCCCCCTCCACACAAGCCTGCCTGTCATGGAGCGGAGAGGCATGATAGCATATCAGATCTTCTCTCCCCTTAACCTTGTCAGCCCGCCTTCCAGCTCAGGCAGTGCCAGCAGTTGACAAGAGGAAGGGAGCATGATGGGAAATTCCGCTCCTGGCAACAGGGAGCCTGTTATGGGGTCCCCGGGGGAGGGGAGCCTGCTCTAGAATGGTATGTGCCAAAACCTTGACGCAGACATGCCCAAGAACAGACCCCCACCCATCTACGTGTCCTGCCCTCACCCCGAGCCGCATCTGCTCGTGTGCACTTGTTACCGTATCTCAGTGTTTGCAGTAGCGCGGTCTGATTTCTGAAGACACCCCACGCAAGGAGAGAAGGACCCTGGTGGCGATGGGTGGGTGTGTTTGCCTCTCTGGAGGTTGCACAGATACCTGCCACTCTGCCTGCAGCCTCTCTTTTGTTTTCCTGTCTGAGAAGTTCCCTCCCGCTTTCTGTGCGTTTATGCCTAACTGGTGCCTGAGAGGTCCTAACTCAACTAGGCAAACACAGCTTCTGACCCAGTCCCAACGTGGCCCAGTTAGGGCCACTCAGAGTCCATCTGTTGCCATTTGGCATTCCAAGACGCCATGAGCTCTCAGAAACAAAAGACACAGCTCCTGCCCAGATGAAGGAGTCTTTAATAAGTCAATGGTGGGATGAGATCCTGTCTGCTGCACCCTCCAGCCAATGCTGGAAGGAAGGTGGGGCAGGCAGGGGAGAACAAGGGGCTTTCACACCGAGGGATTGGTTACCACTAGCCTCCACCTGGCTCTGCTCACAGTGCCTTTTCTCTTTTCCACCTTTATCTCCAAATGGCATCCCTTGCCACTCGCCTCCCCCCCCCCGCCCCGCCGAAATGAAAAAAATGACAAGGATCAGGCAGGTGGGAGTGAAAGTTCTCCAGGAGAAACAATACAGAAAGGGACACTTTGGCCTTTGAAGGTACTGAGCGCTGAGAGGTTAAGGCTGCTGCTATAACGTGGGCGTTCCAATCAGGGTTCCCTGGGACATAGCAGCCCGCTCGATCCTCAAGCCACATTTAGTCCCAAGGCAGTGGAATGTAGGAGTTAAGAACAGAGCTTTGCAGTCAGCCAGAATTGGCCCTCAGACCTCTCTCTGGGTTAAAATACTTTTCCAGGGGACATTCTAGTCTCTCCAGGACAATCCCATTTGTTCATCACCAATAGTCCTGTGGTTTTGAAATCACTATCATTTTTACTTTATGGACAGGGTTTGAGAAAAGCTTTCTCAAACATTTGTTTAGGTGCATCCAATTGCGTTAATTATCTAAAAAAAACCCCCAAAAAACAAAAAACACCTCCTCAGAAAGCCATTCCAAAGCGCGCAAATATGCAGGAGAGAGCTGGAGAGTAATCGCAGGTAGCTAGAAAGCCGCGGGGCTCCTCGAATACCTCCTAAACGTGATTGGAGGGGGTGCTCTGGGGTTGGAGCCACGCAGTGTAAATGCTAAGTAAGGCTGATGGAACCCCGGAAATGAGCAGGGGTCCCCGCCCACCCATGGCTTCCAGCCTGAAAAAACAAAACCCCCGAAGTGGGTATGGTATGCCATCCATACCCACTGGCCTCCACCTCTCTGTGCTCTTGGGAAAACATGGTTAACTTGGGGGCTTGGAGAGGAGTGAAGTCCAGGTGACTCTATCTGAGGCCTCAAATGCACCTTCTCCCTCCTTTGCCCAAAGGAAAGGATGTGCTCATCACTCCTTGCCTTTTGTCCTTTCTTCCTCTCCTCCTTGCTCTGGCCTGACCTGGAGGGGACATGGCCAGGAAATAGCCAGTCCTGCCCTGGACTGTGTACTGGGGCCAACTTAGCTAAGGGGGAATTCTGCTGCCTTTGGTTTGCCCTGGAGGATCCAATGGTCAAGAAAAACTGTAAAAACTTTACACAGTGGGAAAATAGTGGCCCCTGGGCAGGCTGAATGGAAAACAGCAACAAAGAAGATGACAAGTTCCAGGGTAAAGAGAGAGGGATGGGCGTACGGATTGAAGGAAAATAGGTCCCCTCTGCCTCACCTGTTTTCTGTGAGGGGCCTAAGGGTGGGGTACTCAGTAGCACCCACAGACTCAGGTGAGGCCCCTCAGGTTCTACAGGCTGGGGAACCTGCCATTTTCTGGGTTAGGGGTTTCTTAGACTATTTCCTCCCCAAAAGGGCTGGGACAGGAACAGTTTGGGAGGAGTTTTGTAGGATGCCATTTTCTACCTCTGTTTTCTAGAATGTCTTTACAGGTAAAATCCATTATTGTCCATTTTCACCGTAAAAAATAAATAGCAAGCAGAGTCACATTGCTGATGGTGCCCTCTGTCTACTTCCTTTTTGAGGAAAAGTTGGCAAATATAGGAAAGCCCAAATAAGAAGAACAAAAATCTATCCTTCCATTACTCAGAAGTAACTATGGTTAGCATTTTGCTATAAACTGTTTTGCTCTTTTCCTTCTGAGAAAAACAACATATTTTTAGCAAAACCAGATATCATACAGTAAATAACCTACTTCTTGCACTTAACAATATCCATAAACATTTCCCAGCATCATTGGATAGTTTTCTACATCTTTTTTATGGGTGCAGTGAATTTCATCATATGGTTATAGTGTAATTTATTTAATGATAGCAAATATTTATAAAGTGCTTCCTGTGGGCTATGCTTTACATGCATCATCTAATTTATTCCTTACTAGAGATCTATGAGGTAAATCCTATTACTATGCACCTTTCATAAATGAGAAAACAAGTTTTTTAGGCAGTATTTTGCCCAAGGTCACACAGGGAGTGAGCAGAAGAGCTGGAGTTTGAACCCCAGTGCATTCTTTCTGGCTCCCGAGTCTAGGAGCTAGCAGGCCACACTGCCACCTTGGCCGAGCGCCCACTGCCGGCACTTAGAGGTTTCTGGCTTTTAAATATTACTCACAAAGTTGTGTGGGACATCTATATAGCTATATGTAAATAACATGCTATTGCCATTGTTATTTGCAAGAATACGTTTCTAGAAATAAGGTAGAGAGGTCAAAAGAAATACACATTTTCCTGGAGCTGGAGCCCATGTTTGGGTCAGGACTGCACACAGATGGATCCCATCTGGAGGTGTTGTGGGTGAGGGGCCCCCTGCTTTACAGCTGCCCTGCCCCCCACCTCTCTTCCTGTCCGCTGGGAAGTCTACCTCAAATTGGATTCCCAGTACCACCCTTGAGATGGACTGTTTCCTGGCACTCTTATGAACATGATGAGTTCACATTTTAAAACCATTGCTGCAGGTTAGGTGGAAAAAACTGGTATGATTTTTTTAAAAATAAATTTTAAGTTGTCAATAAAGCCAAATAAACATTTAAAGTTTGTTACCAGGCCATCTGAATTTTATCTTAGTTGACTTTCCTGTCCATGTGCTTTGGGGTGGGACGTGTTTTTGACATCCAGGAAGTCATGGCATTTGAATGTTCTTGCTCCCATTTCCTTTCTGGGATGGATGGATGGATGGATGGTGGGTGGATGGATGGATGGATGGTGGGTGGATGAATGGATGGATGGATGGATAAATAGATGAATGGTGGATGGATGCATAGATGAGTGGATGGATGGATGAATGGTGGATAAATGGATACATAGATGAGTGGACGGATGGATGGATGGATGAATGGTGAATGGATGGTTGGATGGATGAGTGGATGGATGAATGGTAGATGGATGCATAAGTTGCATTTCCTGAAATTTCCCCATAGAGTCCTTTAATATGGTAACCGATGGTAACTTCTCCACTCTGCCTTATTGACCTGGCAAATCTTTCGTTAGCTGAATCCCATTTTCATTTACTCTGGAATGTCATCCTTGCTAGGTATGGTCTGGGCTATAGCTCTGGCTTAGAAATTATTCTTAGAGATGGTAGACATAGGAGCTGTCTTCCTGCTCCTGAGCTTTTAGGAATAATAGTACTAGCTACCATTTATCAGGCACCTGCCAAAGGCACATCGTTTTCATTTTTACCACAATCATACATGGTATATATCCTTGTCCTCATTTTACAAATGAGTAGAGGGCTCAGGGATGTTAGGTGACTTGTACCAGGTCACACAGCTAGTAAGTGGCAGGAGAAGAATGCCCTTTGTATCATGCTGTCCATTGGGGTAAATTATTAAAGGGTGTAGACATTCTATTTTTTCTCTCTTCATCATTGACAATCTTGATTTATTCATGACAATCAAAAAATTGGACAGTTGAAACTGAGGAAATTGTTATGGCAGATTTTATATCAAAAGATTGGAATAATGATTTCCTAAAATGTCTTCCAGTTGCTTGCATCTGTGATTCAAATGTACATCCTTTGACAACCAAAAGGAGCCCATGTTGGACCCAGAATCTACCTGCAGCCAGTCTTCCACTGGTGAGCCAGCAAGCCAGGTTTGCACATACCGTTTTTTCCCCTAGTGTAGGTGTCTTTGGTAGTATCTTAACATTTCCTCCCCTAGTTCCTTAGATGCTTATTGACTGAAGGATTGAGTCCAGATCCTCAGTTTGGTTAGGGCAGAAGTCATCCTGAGAAGCAGGAAAAAGTGGGAATGGGTGCCCCCCCGCCCACAGTGTCTGCCAAGATGGACTGTACCTTCCTGTCCACTCCCCAGACAATCCTCAGACAGAGGGAGCGGCAACCCCCTCTGTGAAGCTTTCTCAGCCGGCCATTCTCTTCTGTTGATGTTCTGTGTACCTGTGCTGGGGCCCGGGGCACCCTCTCCTGGGATCATGTTCCTGTATTTCTCCCCAGCTGACTGGGAAGCACTCAAGCATGGGAGCTGGATTATTAACCTTTGAACACAAAGTGGATACTTAGAGATGTTTGAATGTGTGAATAACAGCGTGAGTTAGGGAGCCTAAGTGCCCTGAGACTAGGAACACTCCTGGTTTATATGTACTGGTTAGGTTGGGCAGACTGGACAAAATGACCTCACAAGGCTCCCAGTGAATTCCCAGGTCCCAAGGTGGAGCTGTCTGCTTTGGCTTTCCTTTCCAAGGGGAAGGCGATAAAATCTGTCCTCTGGACAGAACCTTGTCCACACACCCCTGCCATGACCACTGTCCCCCTTCCCTCACCCTCTCCCTGGTCCAGAGCCTCCACTTCCCTGGCTGCAGTGGGTTGGGATGTACGGACATATGGTAAGGCCCCACCTTTGCACCTGTTCTTCCTAAGAGGCTGCAGGTAGATCCCTCAGCACCCACAGGGTCAGGCTTGAGGAAGGCTGGGCAGAGCCCTCCCTGACTAGCTGTTGGCACTCGGTGTGTGTGCCCGAGGTCGGGAGAGCGTGTGGAGCAGGTGGCTGGTCTACTTCCACTGGAGGGCTCGTGGCTCAGTGAGGGGGCATGGAATGCAAGGGGGCACCTCTGTCTCTTCAATCTTGAGAAGTCCCTTTCTTTTCTCTCTTCCTGCTGAGATCTGCTGTCTCCGAGAAGTGTGACTGACAGGACTGGTTCATATCAGGTCAGGCGTGACTCTCTAGAGAAGAGCAAGCCTTGGAGAGAAGAGATGGGTCTTTAGAATTATTTGCAGTGAGGGAAAATCGGGATCCCTGGGGGGATTGCTTAGGACAGGAGCAAAAGTAAATTAGAAGGAATCTGAACAATTCAGCACCTCTTTGGCAAGGGTTGGGGGGCATGGGGGTGGAGCTCTCACAGCAGGGAGGAGTCAAAACCTGGTCTAAAGTGAATCAGAAGGAAGAACTTGGTAACTCAGGGTTAGGACAAGCCCCGCAGGCCTGGACAGCTCTGGGACCTTGCGGTGTTTAAGTTACACGTTGACGCCTCTGCTGACCTTTGTAAATATGTAGGGATGGTTTTTGATTTCCATATGAATTAGAGGGTGCATCCTGCTTCTAATGAATGAAGGTCAGGCTTGCTAGCCCTCCTGTAATCTGTAGCACAGTCCCGAACAGCACGAGTTTTCCTAGCCCTGTGTGCCAGAGTCCCACTGAGAACACTGGGTAATATCTCTGGAAGCTTCCATTTCTGGTAATCTGATACTCTGATTCTATCCTGGCTGCAACCATCAGTTTGTTTTCTTCAAAGATGAAATGAGGGGAAAAAATCGATCATCTTAATAGATGTAGAAAAAGGATTTGCTAAAACTCAATAGTCATTTGTGATTAAAACATGATCTCTTAGCAAATTAAGAGTAATGTCTTAATCTAATGATAGCATCTACTACTTATAGCAAATACTATAATTAATTACAAAAGATTAGAAACATTCCCATTTGTTTTTATTTTATTTGAAAAAAATTTATAATGTTTATTCCTTTGTTTGAGAGACAGAGAGACAGAGTGCTAGCTGGGGAGGGGCAGAGAGAGAGGGAGACACAGAATCTGAAGCAGGCTCCAGGCTCTGAGCTATCAGCACAGAGCCCGACGCAGGGCTTGAACCCATGAACTGCAAGATCATGACCTGAGCCGAAGTCGGAATGCTTAACTGACTGAGCCACCCAGGTGCCCAGAAACATTCCCGTTTAAAGGAAGAAGGCAAGAATGTCCACAATCAATCATCGCTAGTGTGAACATTGTGCTTAAGGTTTTGATGAATGCAATTAAACACAAAAATAAAATGAGAGAATAAGAACTGGAAAGTCAAAGATGTAATTGTTATTTACACATTATTTGATTGTTTCTACAAAGAGCCCAAATGGCTGATGAAAAAGTTATCAATATTTTTTTAAAGTCAGATTTACTGGGTAGAGGATCAGCTTATCCAGGGGTGCTGGGGTGGCCCAGTCGGTAAGTGTCTGACTCTTGATTTCAGCTCAGGTCATGATCTCATGGATTCATGGGATTGAGCCCCACATTGGGCTCCGCACTGATAGTCCAAGTCCTGCTTGGGATTCTCTCTCTCTCTTTCTCTCTTTCTCTCTCTCTCTCTCTCTCTTTCTCTCTCTCTCCCCCTCTGTTCCTCCCCAGCTTATGCCTGCTTGAGTGTGGATGCACGTGCTCTCTCTCTCAAAAATAATGATAATAAAAGTTTTTTTTTAATTCATCTTATCCAGACTTGTTGCATTCTGCACAACAGTAATGACCAAATTAGAAAATTTAATTTGAAAAAGATGCAATTTTCAGTAGTAAGAAAAAACTATAAAGTGCATGTGGATAATTAAAGCAAGTGTTAGAAAAGTTCAAGTAATGTAGGAGGAATTGAATAAATTGAGATACAGTATGTTTGTAGATGGGAAGTCTTTATTATAAAGATATCAATTCTCCCAAAATTAGGCTATAAATTCAACACACATATAATAAAAATTTCAACATGATTTATCTTCATACTTGACAAGTACCACCTCCAACTGGAACTTAAAAAAAACCTGGTTGATCTCTTGAGCAGTGAGCTTATGACATGGCTCTCCTGGGACTAAGTGCAGGTGCTATTTATGTAGAGTAAGAGGGAAGCATGTTAGAGGGAAAAGGAAAGATTTGGAGATAGGAAGGGCCTTATGGTGTCTCTTCTCTGGGCTCTCTCCAACTTTTTGGCCTTGTCTTAGAGGCTGGAGGAAGGCTAAAGGAACTTGGTGTTAGGTTGGGCTAAATTGTGTTGTGGGGGGAAATCTTAGTGGTTTTACACATGAAGGTTTATTTCTCACTAAGTCAGTGCTGGCTGCATGTCTCCAAGGCTGCTCCCCTCTATAAAATGACTTGGGAACACAGGACATTTGCATGTGCTATGCCTCTGGAACATGTGGAACCCACATCCCTGGGAAAGGAACATGGGGCATGGAGAACTCGCAGGCCCTCTTTGGTGGTTTGACCCAGAAGTTGACACACACATTTCTGCTTATAAACCAATGGAAGAACTGGTTGTATAGCGCCAGCTTCATTGGAAGAGAGGCTTGGAATTGCAGTCATGTGAAATGAAAGAGGCATGTTCTCTGCAATGGAATACAGCCATGAAGAGCACCCGTGTGCTAGGTTTGGGTTCAGTGATAAGGGTAGTAGGGTTGAAGAGAGAGCCATCCTTGCTTTTCTGTGAGGAAATGACATCTCTGGGGGTGCGGAAGGGAAGGTAGCCCTGTTTGGCACTTCAGCGTTTTGAAGCTACAGCACTGTGGGTAGACAGCCCCTGTCCAGGAAAGCAACATCTTCCAGAATATACCAGGAGGAATAGTTGTGACAAAGGATGAGTGGTTTGGGGTGCGGGGGAGGGGCAACATCAACAAGGAGAGAACCTTGTAGAACATGAGACCCACGCATAAACCTATGGAGACTCCCCCAGATATCTGGTCCTGAATTTGTAGTCCAGAGCTAGGGGACAGTAAGTTTGGTTATCAACGCTAACACAGTCCCTATAGAATCTATAGGCTGATGGAACTGGGAGACATTTGGTTTACATCCCACTGCCCATCCAATAAGAACGTGAATCATCTATATGGTTGTATTTTAGCACTGAAGAACCATTTCCCATCTGGATTGAGTCAAACCATTTTAGACTCATACTCTATTAGTAATGGAGCTTCTAAACATACTAACTCAGGGGGTCTTCAAAGAATGACCCGAGACCAGAAGTATCAGCATCACCTGGAAACATGATAGAAACGCAACTTCCTGGCCTCCATTCCAGGCCTAATAAGTCCAAGGTACTGGGAAGGAAGGCCCAGCAAGGGGTTTTAAGAAGCCCACTGCCCCCACAGTGTTATTCTGTAACAAGGTCACATTTGAAAATTACTCATTTTTTTTTAAATTTTTTAACGTTTTATTTATTTCTGAGAGAGAGACACACACAGCGTGAGCAGGGGAGGGTCAGAGAGAGAGGGAGACATAGAATCTGAAGCAGGCTCCAGGCCTGAGCTAGCTGTCAGCACAGAGCCCGACATGGGGCTCGAACTCATGAACCGTGAGATCATGACCTGAGCCGAAGTCGGATGCTTAACCGACTGAACCACCCAGGTGCCCCAAGAATCACTCATTAACTCATTGAATCTTAGCAAGAATCTCTAAAAGCGCTCATCTTCCCTTATTACAGAACAGGAAACTGAGACTCCAAGAAATTGCAAAGTACTACATTAAAATTTTTTTAATGTTTATTTATTTTTGAGAGAGAGAGAGAGAGAGACAGACAGAAAGCATGAGTGGGGGAGGGGCAGAGTGAGAAGGAGACACAGAATCCGAAGCAGGCTCCAGGCTCTGAGCTGTCTGTCAGCACAGAGCCCAACGCAGGGCTCCAACTCATGAACTGTGAGATCATGACCTGAGCCAGAGGTGGATGCTTCACCGACTGAGCCACCCAGGCGCCCTGAAAGTACTACGTTTTGAGTCAAGACTTAAACTCAGTCTCAAAGTCCTGGGCTCAAATGTGGGGTTTGAATTGTTTTTTCTGGTAGAAATTCAAATCCCAGTATTTTAGGTCCTAATCTGGGCTGAAAGGGAGGTAGAGAA